TGACCCTCATTCCCACCCAGGAGTTTTGAATCTTTCGAAAAATGTGAAACATCCCTGAAATGAATTTGAACAAAGATCTTTGGTAATGATTTTGGAAGCCGTTTGGCTGTTGCACGTTTTTCAAGTTATTTCCACACTTGCGGATGGAATTTGCCAAGATCCTGTCATAGCGTGCACCTTCCTCATATAAGGTAACTAGTGTTAAGATTTCAGCTTCCTAGCTCTAACGTTTTTCGTCGTGCTTGGATCATCAATCAGTCAGTCAGGACAAACAGCTGTATATATAGAGATAACAATAGCTAGGTGAATAGATGTATAAAAACGAGGTTCACGAAGCGAACCTTCGCAAAGCATTGATTTTAGCCTCGAACTGAGTCACCCTGTTGACGGTAAAGATTTTCATTACGCATACGCAAAATTAAGAATACGCAGTGTGTGTGCAAACAGTCAAACGCTTTGCGCAATGAGCCGAATTTGGCATTCGAATTAGCAGTTGACTTTAACTGAGCATTGCATAATGGTATTCCCTTGAATGCTACTTTCCAAAAGCACCATTTGTCGCATTCGCCATTTGTTTGGCTATTTTTCTACTTTTTTTGTGTGTGTATTTATGGCCTTGTTTGTTAAACGAAAAACAAGCGGCCATAAATCAAATGTCATATGCTGGCCACACAGGCAATGGCTCTGCAATACCCCCTCTGCGAAAAACCTCCAAGCAATAATGTTATAAAAAATAAATACACTGAACACAATTCAAAAGGATTTTAGATTTAAGATATAGTTAGGATAGAAAAGCGAATTTTAGCATTCAATTAAAATGATAAACATGAATTTGAAGAGCAATTCATTGCGCCTTTGGTTTAGAGTTCAGTCACATCGCGTATACGCCGTGTGTGGCCACACAGACGTCTGCACATGTGTGTGTGTGTGTGTGCATGTGTGGGAGTGCTCTGTGTCATTTAATTACAGAGAGTCGCATCATTAAAGCCTTTTTATTGCACTTCTTTGGCAAAGAATTTTACGGCCAACGACATGAGCCGCAGTTTTATGCCATTTTATGCATTTTTGCACACACCCACAACTACACACAATATAAACACAACAACAGACAGCAGACAGGCAGATAGCAGCTACATTCTGTTCACAGTCAGCCCCACACACACATAAACATACTGCACATATGTGAGTGTGTGTGTGTGGATTTGAGTGCGTGTATCCCAGTGTGTACTGTGGCATATAAAGCTACGCATCAGCAGTTGTCTGTCCATATCGTAAATATAGCTCCGCAAATATGTAAACGAGCCATGCATAAAATTGCCGAGCTGCCAATGTCTATAAAACTAAAAGTTGTAAAATTCAGATACAGCGTTCCATCAGCAAACGAATAAAACGAACTACTCAAAAGTAGATAAATACATTGAGAACTATTGAACGTCGAAATGAAACAGATACGCTGAAATATTTGGAATATTAAGCATTTTAATGCTTAGCTAATTGATTTATGGTTTTTAAATACTTTGTTGGCGGTGGAAAAAACTTGGGAAGTGTCCATTGAAAACATTTAATTACAAATACTGTGAAGTATCTTTTGGGCGTATAGAGAGTATTCACAGTCCGTTAGAGAATGCAATAAAATATGAATAAACGTAATACATAAAATAAAAAATATATAGAGCATATATATAATAATATAAAAAAAAAAAATGAAAATATAATTTAAAATAAAAAATATTGTCTAGTTTTAAAATTAATTGATCATATATTAAATATTAATATAACAATATAAATAATAGCTAATATTTAAAATATTCCATAATTTACAATGTTCCATAATTACAATTGAAGAATCAACAAAAAAATGTCTACGCAAGTACTTAGAGAATACATGAATTATTAGCTAGTATATTAATTACAGAGTATCACGTAGTTGAGTGGCTTCGACTGCTACATTTTGCTCGTTTCTCTTAATAAACACTTTTAAATTTATTCTGGAATGTGTAAGCCGTTTTTTTTTTTATAAAAACAAATGCGTAGAATAATTTAAATCAAAAAATCTTAAAAATGACTAATACACAAGAAATAATAAAAAAAAAATATATATATATAAAATGTAAATGAGCGCTGTATAAACAGAAACCCTCATTCATTAATTTAGTTTGTTTATAAAAACTCGTCTATGAATTTTTCAGCGCCGGAAAGAGGCCCATCAACAAGATGTTATAAGCACGATAAACATTCGCTTGCTTGGGCAAAGGAATATATATATTTACAAAATGAACCATTTGATAGTATTTGTTTAAGCATTTGGCGAATTTAAGCTACGACCACGCCTTGGCTGAATCGATAGTTGGCCATAAAAAGTGCTTAAAGTGTCGCATGGCCGGGCTCAAGTGCCGCTAATTAGTGCCACAAGACAGGCACCAGGCGCCGTTGGCAGCCGTCTCTGGGCCTATTCGCAACTGACAATTTAATTTTTACGAGGCGCTTAATGTGCCTTTAATTACAAAACCAAGCAACGCAGGCCGCTTGATTGAATATTTGCGCCGAATTAAGATTAATGGGCAGGGCAACCCGCTGGCTTCGGCAGGATGTTGCTATTATTAACACAACATAAATAAGGACAACTGAAGCCGGCGCTTCCGGCGGCTGTCTTATCTATGGTGAATTGGTGCCCGCAAGAGCCGCCAACTAAATGTTGCCGCCTGGCAACAGACGCGCCTCTTTGAGCCGGTTAAAGCAATAACAAAATAAAATATTAATCACTTAGTCCGTGGAGCGTTGTGCTTTCTTTTTTGTACAGTCAAGGGCAATGGCAATTCAATTAGCAACTAATGAAGTAATTTCAAGTGTTTGCGAATTGCCTTACGCACGATCCATAGCATTAAATTTAATTACATTACGCATCAACAGGTTTGACGTCATAAAAATGCCAATGCAGGCCAATATAAAATCAAGGGTCACTGCTATTGACTACCACTCACACACACACAAACACACGAACACCCAAACACTCACTTACATGCACAATTAAGAACTCAATATGCGCGCCATTTTAGATGAAAGATAGCCGGCAACGCGCAAGTCAATGCCCGAACCTGACAATGGGGCGTATGAGCGATGCCAAAAGCCAGTTAAATGGCTAACAAACGAGTTTCATGACAATCTCTTTGGCATTTGTTTATACTACAGGCAATAATATAATTTTTATTGATAGCCAGACAATAGACCAAGTATGCATATTTATTTATAATGAACTGCACGCATATGCATGTGCACACGGCAAAAACTAGAAAAAAGTTTATGGCTTTAATCAAGACACATCTTTGGATTTATGCAGCCTGACGCCTTGTATAGAGACACACAAGAATATAATATATGGCTTTGACATATAATAAAATATTAATTGTTTAATTAATTCGCGGCGTAAAATCCATTAAAGTCAACTTGAAAAAAGCTTAAATTCAATTTAAAGCAAAACAATACTTTTGAAAGTCTGATTTAAATATATTTTAAATTAATAAATAAAATAAAGTGTTGCTACAAGCCCAAGTAGAAAATGCAAATGACTCAGTAGAGCTCACAAACTGAGCTATGTAGTTGGGCCAAATGATGCTGTAGACAAAGCGAAATTAGTTTTGCCTGGCCGTGGGCCAATCAGGGCCAAGAATGCATGTTGCCTAAAATGTGGCAGAAGTTGGGCACTTTATGGCACACTCGGGCATAGACCAACGGCCAAATGAGTCCAGCAATGCAAGAGGGAATCGGAGCGTAGCTGCTCGACCAATTTAAACGCCTGCAGCCTGTTGCGAGCACATTTACAATTGAAGAAGTTGTGTCCAACTGCCTTGATACACACATTATCATGTCTCAATCGGGCGCCGTGCAATTCCATTAATAGTTGGAGTACCGTCTGGCCGGGTCGATACGCATGACCTTGGCCGGGGGGGAGCTTACGCTTAAATGTCCAACAGAAACCGAGCACTTTAACGTGTGGACAAAAAACACAGTGCACAGTGCACAGTGCAGTTAAATGTGAGGCAATCAGGAATTTACGAGCTACCAAAACATCAAATTCATATGAAATCGAAATCAAATAAATGGCCAACATTGAGGCGACAGATTATTGAGGCCAATCTGTGAGTTATTCGTGCTTCTGCAAAATATGGCCATTTTGTATATTTTGCTGGTGGTGATAATTTAATGGGCCATAGCTGAAATTTATGCAACTGCCCGACTAAGTTGCCAATGAAATGTCGCCATCATTTGTGGGCGTCTCTTGAGTGATTGGCCCTCCAGTGCAGATGAGGCCTATGTGAACAATAATAAATGAAAACAAAAAATTGTTTAGCAATCAGTTGGCAAATTCAATGGAGTTTATTCAATTTAAGTCGTCAACAATTTCGCTGCTGACGCCAGAGACCCGGCCAAAAACTGTGCGTCCGCAAGTAAACAAAAACTGAGGTCCTGTTGCCATAAACAGCTTGGCCAACATCAAATTTGGCATGGCTCATAAAAACGCACGGCGTTCAAATTAAACAGGCACGCGCACATTCTCCATTCTGCCTGGCGTTTCCGTTTCCGCCATTTTATTGAAAATAACAGATAGGACAAAGTTAGCCCAAAAATTTGTAATTTATATACGAGATAATAAAGCCATTTGAGCAGGGAAAACTTTATGCTGATTTCAATACCAATATATTATGCTAAGAAGTATAGACAAAAACAATTTGAATTGTTTGCTCCAGTGTTCCTCCCTTTATGAACCAGATTTCTCACATCCATGAACTAGTTTGTCGCTTATTAAATAAATATTTAAAATTACAATTAATTTAAATAATGTAGCGTGCCTAAAATGTAGCAATGTTAATAATAAAACAAGAATTTTATTTATCTAAGCCAGTTTTTTTTTTCTTTTTGATATGGTTCAGATTTCAAATTTCCAATGAGGGCGATTTCATTAACAATATCCTATAGTCAAGGTTAGAATAGAATGGTAACAATTTTTGTTTCAATTTGTATTTTATTCCAAAATAGTATTCACAATTCCTTCATTCACATACGCAATGCACTCAAATTGCAGGCTAAGACTATTCAAAAATCAGTTGGTAATTTTTACATTAAGGATACTTTACAGGTTGCCGTTGAGCAACAGTTTAGATGATGCGATTTGTCACAGCCGACTGCTCCGCAAAGTTGGCCAACCATTTGCTCACTTGCTCCTGGTTAAGCTCCAGCCATTTGATGTTGGCCTTGACCGTTTCCAGTGCCTGTTGACGCGCTGCAGTGCCAGCGCCGGCCTCTGGATTTTTAGCGAAGAACTGTTGCATCTCCTCCAACTTGGTTTGCGTGGCAAAGCGAGCGGTAATGGTGGGAATAAGGCGACCTAAGGTACGCTCATTGATACCATAGCGTTCCACTAGCTTGTCCCAGTTTTCACGCACATAGTCCCAGACGAGGCTCTGACCCACTGGATTGGCGGAAATGTAGCCCAGCAGCGTGAAGTAGTCCTGCCGGCGCACATTGTTCTCGTCCCAAGCCAAATTGATATAGCGCTGCAACAGCCAGGGCACCTTAATAGCTGCTAGCGCGTTCATCAGCTTGAGCTTCTCCTGCGCATCGGGCTCAGTCAGATACAGCTGCCAGACCTGATCCCAGGCGGACTCAGTGTTAACCTGTTGCAGACCGAAGTAGTAGACAACGTCGCGAAAATCGGGATTGGGGCGTGTGTCCGGGCTGGCCAACCACTGGTTAAACAAGGTGGCAGCCTGCTCTAGTGCACTCTCGTATCCAACACCGCAGGCAGCGCTCAGCACCTTGATGCGCAGTTTACTAATAAATATAAAGAAAAGTATAATAAATAACAAATTTAAGTTCAATGTAGTCGCATATACTTTTCCAGATGATCCGTGCCCACGGTAAAGGTAAGCTTCTCTACAATGGGAGACAACAGCTTGCGCGCATATTTCGTAAAGTCCTTATAGGCATTTGTATAGTACACACGATTCTTGAGCGCTGTCAGCGATGCGGTGCCCACGCTCCAGGGCACGTAGTCCTGTTCGTTTTCCAAATATGTGCTCAGCTCCAGCGCAATGGTATAATTCAGCTGAGCCGCGTCTGCCAAAGCATTGGCATCGTTTAACAAATGTGCACGATCCGCCGTGCTAAAGGTTTCACGTGATGCCTTCAGAGCTGACACCAATTCCGTCCACTGCTCCTCGGCATAGTTGACACGATAGTAGCCCACCTGATCCTTGTTCAACTTTACCCAACTGACAGTGCTAGGCAGTGTGATGCTAAGCTCATTGTCGTTATAGTTAAAGATTGTGGTCTTTGGCGTGCTGTCTTCGCTGGTTATGTAGGTGATGGGTATGGACCAGCGATAACTGCGAAAGGAGCAGAAACAGTTGAATAGGTTGCTAATAGAGTGTAAGGCAGTGCACCTACTTGAAGGAAGATGCCTCGACTTCAGCACTATAGTCATCCTGATTGGCTAGGAAACGCTTTTGGGTTAGCTTGCAAACATTGCCATTCTTCACAACTTCAACCACGGGCAGACCCATCTGTTCCGTCCAGGTTTGCATGATTTGCCTGTAAGCTCAGATCAATTAGATTGGTTAAGGAGCAGCTGCAATTGCTGTAATTACTTGACTTCATAGTCGAGACCCTCCTCCTCCTCAATGGCCGTCAAATAATCATCGGTGGTGGCCGTGCTGTAAGTGTGACGACGCAAATAGCGCGCAGTGGCATTCTGCAGTCTTGCCTCGCCAACAAGATTCTCAAGCATGCGCACCAAAGCGGCGCCCTTGGAGTAGGTAATGGTATCAAAGTACTCGGTAATTTCAGCAGGACTCTCAATCGACTTGACAATGGGATGCGAAGCGAGTGTGGCATCAATCTTCAGTACAGGATGCAGCTCCTCAGTCACAAATTGATTCACCTACGTATTGAAGGAGAGTATATAAGCAAGGACACCGACAAGCCAATGAATAAGCAGATCTTACCATATCCCAATCGGGATGCATATGGTGCACTCCCTTATACTCAATGAATGTGGCGAAGCCTTCGTTTAGCCACAGATCATTCCACCAGTTCATGGTAACCAAATTGCCAAACCATTGATGCGCCAGCTCATGGGCGATCACAACAGCGACGCGTTGCTTATTCACGCTGGAACTGGTGCTCGCATCATAGAGCAGTGCCGTTTCACGGAAGGTCACAAGACCCCAGTTCTCCATGGCACCGGATACAAAGTCGGGTATGGCAACCATATCCAGTTTGGGCAGCGGATACGAGATGTTAAAGTAATCTATATAATGCGCAGTAATGCCGGCACCGATCTCCAGCGCGTACTCTGTCTTGCTAACTTGGGCGGGTGGCGCAAACACACGCAGCTCGATATTGGTGTCACCCACGGTGGTTGTGGTGTGCGCAAAGTCCGAGATGACAAAGGCGGCCAGGTAGGTGCTCATGGGCAACGTCTCCTCAAAAGTAACCTCCGTCAAATCGCCGTCAATATACTCGCTCTGCAAAAGAAGCAATTCTAGAGAATGTCTGTGATATGTGGGCTTTAGTGTTTTTCTTACGGCAACTGGCATATTGGATAGCACATGGTAATCATCGCCGCTGGGCCGGGCAATTGTTATGGCAAACTGCGCCTTCAGATGCGGCTCATCGAAGCAGGGGAACGCCTGGCGTGCGTAGGTGGGCTCGAGTTTCGTGCTGGCAATCCATCTGTGAAAAAATTGAGAAATTAGTATAAGAAAAACAACTTTTAAGGTAATTCATAGGGCTGTTGGGTTAATTTAGGTGCATGCATTTGTTAGCTTAAGAAGGTCACAGCTGCGTCTACCTGGTGCGGTTTTTCAGCTTATTGTAGTATGAACTTTGGTACAGCCCCGTTATGCGATCGGCTAGCGAGCCATTAAATTTCAGCTGCAACGTATAGTTGCCCACTTCCAGTGGCTGCTCGAATTCGCTGACAAAGTACTCGTATTCGGGATAGGCGAAGGTGAGCGTTGGTTTGATTTCCGTCAGCGGAGCACCCGAATCATCCAAACGCTGCAGTTGCTCGTGGCTCACATTCAGCTGTTTGACGTGCACGGGTATAAATGCGATAGGGTCCAGCACCTGCAGATTTATGCTTATGTTGCCCGTGTAGCTCTTTGAGTCAAAATCGGGCCTCAAGTGCAAATTATATTTTCGTGCTTTTATCGCTTTGGGCAAACGGAAGCCAAGTTTCTGCAGGACCCGGCTGGCAGCACGTATTTCAGGCGATATGGCGGCCATGGCGTTTGGCTTTTTCGTGGTGGGCACTTGGGTGGTGTGTGCGCGATTATCTGTTTTTTTTTTATGGTTTGTTTTTATCAGTAATTCATGAATTAGTTCAAATTTGTATTTCTTCAACTTATACAAAGTCAGTGCGCCGAACAGCTGTTGCGTTATCGATAACGATAACGATATCAGCGTGGTTTGCTGAGCAAAACGCCTACAGGCAACAAAAAGCTGATTGCTATGAGTGCAGCGGTTGCTTGGCGCGCATTTGCTCAGCATTTGAATTTGCATTGAACAACTTTTAATAAATAAGACATTTGTTTTTCAGCTTAACACAAACCTGAGAGCACGCTCAAAATTGGCTTCGTGGACAATAACTGATCACGATCCACATATATGGTGCGTATTGTGTCATTTATTACGCTCAGCGTACTCCCGCTCGCCTGCTGCTTCTGATGCTCATCAGCAATATTTTTGCCGACATAAACCAGAGCGCCGAGCAGAAAACTGCAGAGCACCAAAAGAAACACACAGAACGCGACCAGAGTGAGGACCGTGTTGCTCGGCGATTTCTTGTGTGCACGATTTGTGTCCTTGATGCGATGATTGTCGTCTGTGGAGAGGCTGCTGCGTGGACGCACGTTTTTCGTCGCGTACATGCCGTTGACTTTTTTCGTTTTTGTTTTTGTGTATAGTATTTGGTTTTTCGATGTTTATGTACTTAGCTGTTGACTAACTAGGCGCTATTTACACTGGTACTGATACATTTAAAATGACTTGGCGATCTATGAAACGGTTAACAAACATTTTACATTAGCTAGAGTGCTAGTGTACATGGATCTGCCTTTCTATTTGAGCTTATTAGATTGATAAACAGTAATTTTTTTAAACAAAGATCAAACTCGATGCTCCAAATTTACAGTGGACATTTGAAATCAATTTTTCGATAACAATCCCACATTTTGTGATATCGATTAATATCGATTTCCTGCTCGGATCTTTTAATGGGCGAACGGCAACTCAGATCAAGTTAAAGAGTATCTCCTAGTCGAATAGAGCAGTCATATTAGCTTAGTTAACTGCGATTGGAAGTTATTGCATTAAACTTTAAAGTAAAACATTTTGTGACATTAAACAATTCCATACTTCGTGATATCGTTAACTATCGATTTACTGCCCGGTTCTTTTAAAACCTGGTTAGAGCGTATCTCCTGGTCTACTAAAACAGCCCTATTAGCTTAATTAGCTACTATTGGAAGATATTACAACTATTTCAATGAAAAGTTTTAATTAATAAGCAATAGTTTACTTATTTTTATTTGATTATTAACTGCATTTCAAGTCTCGAAATGTAGCTCAAAAACTAATTTAAGCTGCGATTGAGTAGTGCGTCGTCGTCTCACGTAATTTGAGCTTATCGTAAACAGACCAAATTACAGACGTTGCTATTATCACATTTTCGACAGCTATTCCCTATAAACAGAGACATAACATTTGTTTGCTTTGCTTTTGTATCTTGTATATCGTTTCCGTCACATTTGACTTGATTTCATTGAGAGTTGATGCGATGTTGTCTCCATTGCAGGATCAATCAAATGTAATCTCTACGCTGTCACGTAATGGAGTTGGTCATTTCGCCTTTTCGGTGTAATTGTAGCGACTTAGGCCAAGTCTTACTTATTTTTGTCGTTGTTGTTGTTGTTATTGTTGTTGTATTGTTGCTGGTAAGCCGCAATGTTGTATTACAAATTTCCAGGTTTATTGCAATTGCAGTAATACGACCACAGGCCACTTTCTATATGGGCGTCGGCGTCGTCGTCTGTGTGATTGACTGATGGTTGGAAAGGTTGTTGGCTTTTTTTCAGATGATTTGCAAGGCAGTTCCCTCTCTCTCTCTCTCTCTCTATATATATATGTATATATATATGTCTCGCTTTGTCTCTCTCTCTGTTTGGGCTTGTGTCATGGGAAATATTAATTTTGCATTGTAATTGTATTGAATTATCCAGAAAATGCAGATGCGGTAGTCAATACTGCTTTATTCATGTTATCTCACATACATAGATGAGCAATAAACCAATAAGCATAAAGTTTATGGTCAAAATGATATTATTAAAACCCGAAAGATTACTCGGGCAAATAAAAATGATTAACTTGTTCACAAACAGCCAACCAATAGGCATTATATCCAGCCTTTGGCAACACTTAAAACACAATTAAGCACATTAAAAGCTTTAAGGTGCTTTGAAAGCTTTTTGCGGAAGCTTTTGTGTTGGAGTCTCAAAAAGTTAAGGCACATATGGGAAATGTTGATGGTAAAAAATTGTTAACATTTTAAATTAATTTCTTGAATTAGAAAAATATTTATCTTATTTTAGAAAAAGCTTTATTTTGTTTAACAACACTAGAGAGTGTTCCTTTCTTTAGAAACAGCTTTTGTTACACTACACTGGTGATTTCCTTCTTTATGCAAGCCAATAAAAAAGTGTCTTAACTTTGAGTTCCCATAATACAGTGCCCACAATTGTGATTTTGAAGTCGTATTGTGTACTCATACTCATTTGTGTACACACTTGAGTAGCTCTGGCCGCAACAAAGTTATTAAGATTCAAATGAAGCTATGCACAATGTGAGCGTGTGCGTTAATTTCGGCAAGTTGTGCGAATGCGAATCTAAAGTGATGAATATTATGAATATGCTAATATCGAGTGAGCTGCACAAATAGTCTGGGGCAGAGGCAAGCGCATGCCAGCTCTGATCCAGCTCATCATTGTGTCGTCTCTCTGACTCTGAAGCCTACGATGATGCAATGCATTGGCGTTGACTCAATTAGGCTGCAGACAAAAGCCACAACAACAACAACGACAAACGGAAAAACAACAATAAAAAAAGAGCATAAACAACAAATGCGGCATAAAAATTGCATGACTACCTTATAAGCCAAACACTTGATGTGGCAGCTGCAAAGTATCTGCGACTGCATAATTTTATACGCCCCATTGTATCTGCATCTTGTACACTCAGAGAAAAAGCCCAAGAACCTAATAGTCAAATCTAGCCAAGCAGCTGCAAGAAGTTCTTTATTGAGGAACTTTTTACAAGCAGAAATACGTGAATACAAGAATGATTTGGTTTTAAGTATTTTGTGCTTCTTCCAATTTCCGTACTTAATTTAAGAATATTCAAGAATACTTCGTTCTCAAGTTTTTAGGACATTTGATTTATCTTCAAATATAAAATAGTTTTCTTTTCCTCATTTGGTTTCGTTGAGTGTAGATCTAAGCTTGGTTACTCATCAAGCTCGAGGAAAATGTCAAATGGCAGAACAGTTATGCCGCCTTGTTAATGAATGTGGCATGAAGTCAAATACGTTTACATTTCCATTTAATTAAATTCACGAACTCAAGTTGATTGCACTCGCAGAATGTTATTGTTATTAAGAATAATTTTCGTTTTTTTGAAACGTTCAGTGAGTTTTTTTTTTTCAACTTGATAACTTTCCCAAATAAATAATTAAATGCAAAGTGCGCCCCACAAATGCCCAAAAAGTGAGTCGCGGCCACATAACAATTGCCCAAGCCCAGGCCCAAGCCCTGGCCCAAGCCCAGGCCCATTGATAGCTCTCTGATTGGGTCACTGTGACGCATGGAGGGCCCCCAATACGTGACTGCAATTGAAAATACGCTCAGACACATATATGATAAGTATTTCAAACGCACACCCGAAAGTTAAAAATGAAAAAATAGGAAAATCAAAACAAAGCGAGAAAGAAAGTTATCTTCGGCACGCCGAAATCCTTATACCCTTGCAGACCGAAAATTTTCATAATGTTGTGCTCGTATTTAAAAGCACAGGGAAAATAGCTAATGCCGAGTAAGGTTAAGATATCTTGTAAAACTAAAAATTGTTTATACAAGACCAATCGTGCCTATGGCAGATATATAATATGTTGGTACGAAGCAGCCGAATCCGAAAGAGGGACGTGTGTCAAGTTTCATGATGATAGCTTTAAAACAAGAACAGCCGGACGAACGGAAATGGCTATATCGACTCGGCTGTTAATATTGATCAAGAATATATATAGCTTATCGGGTCGGCGATTTCTCCTTCTATGCGTTACACAGTTTGAGACAAAATTATAATACTCTCTGCAAGGGTATAAAATCGAAGAAATGCTTGCAACCGTTTGCCTGTTTTGCACAATAATTAAATAGTATTCGATTTTTTTACACGTTACATAAAAATTAATTATAACACTATTGAAACGAAAGAAACTAGTTTAATATATGTATATCTGCATGATATACCTTAAAGCTACATACGTATATGCCTTTCTTATGTACGGTAGTATATTTTATGAGTTAACAAAAAAGGCTAAAGACTACAAAAGTAATTATTCCTTTGGTACACATCATTTATTATTATAAGTATGCATTACTTTGTTTATAAGTACTCTAATGTACACAATATAGGTACACGATGTAGGTTTATATCAACCCAATTGGTCCTGTTCTTCATTCAGGACATCACTTGATCTACTCATTTACTATTCTAAGATCTGTAATACCCTTTCATCTCTCAGCCTCATAATCATAATCTTCTTTAATCTCTACTAATTAAATTATTTGTTCGTTTTTTCGAAAAACCATTTATTGATCTTTATATTTGTTTTACAAGCATACTCTCCCTTATCTACATTTCACTATATTGAAAAATGTGTTTCTTGGATTATTCTGACTGCTTTCACATGCATTCTGAATGAATGTGAGAAACTTTTGATTGAAGAATTAGTTTTCACAAATGCAAATTAATCAAAAACTGAGCTCTCAGACACATGCTCGAGTATAATTTGGCTATTTATCAAAAAATGCTGACCTTCATTTTTTGCCAAACTTCAAAGAAGTGAAAGAAATTTAAATAGATCGACTGACAGTTGGCCCAAAGGCGTCAAAGTGAAATGGGAAAGGAAAGGAAAGGAAAAGAAAAGAAATCAGTGCCAATGAAAACGAAAAAGGTTTGAATAAAGCGCGTTGCCCGAACTTCTCAGAACCAAAACATAACAAAAACATGAAAACCCAGCAAAAAGAAGTTTGTAAGAAAACCAGAGTCAACTGCGACAAGAAACGGAAACAACATTAAAGTCGATGTCGACCCATTTCGTTTGAGCTTTTGAGGAAAGTATTTCTTTTTTTTTCTTTCTAGATAAACGAGCAGCAGCTTCTGGCAGCTATTCAAGCGCTTGGCCGCAGCTTGTAAATGTAAACACAAGACAGAAGCGAGGCGAAGTCGCAGTCGCAGTCGCAGTCGCTGTCGTCGTCGACGTCGACGTCGTGTATTGGCCGATTTTAAGGCCAAGAACTTGCGCGGCAAGTGAACTATGAGAGAGGCTGAGCAGAAGCCTGTTTGCCGGCTAGCTCTGAGTAGAAGGGGCGGCCAAGGGGGCGCAAACGCAGTTGCAACCTGTTTTGCGTGCGTGAAACTTCTGCTGCCGCTTGCGTTTATATTTATTGTGTTTATTGTTGAAAGTCAAAGTTGGCATAGAATTCAATGGCCGCATTTGTGTTATATTATTATTATTATTATTATTATTATGAAAACGTATTAAAATAAGTTTTCGCCTCACTGCGCTCAATTAGTCATATAATGGCACATTGCCCTCGCCTGGACAATGACAACAACAACAACAACAAAAACTGTTCGGTACCTAGAAATAAAAATCACTTAAACGGTATTCATTCGCATTATTTGCACGAATACACACATACATTTGTATGTATGTAAGATGTACATATGGATATCTATTACACAGACGCTCATAATTCGCACTTAACAGTTGGTTGGCTAATTTTTGTGGGCATTGCGCTTTGCGCAGCTCTACTTGATTTACAGTTAGACAGTGTGACAGCAGATTTTTTTTCTTAATTATTAACCATGCCCAACCAATAACAGCTCTATTTAATAACGGCACTCGGCTTAAGCTGTTGCTTTACTTAATTCAAATCGATGCCGCGCACGTTTCACATTCGCACGAGCGCGCGAGAGGACGAGCGAGCGAGAGGGCGAGAGTAGAGATCGGAGCTCGTTGAAGCGATGCGCATTGACAAACGACAACCGTCGCGCTCAGCTTTGGAATTACAACTAAAAGTCGGCTGTCAAAGCTGCGGCCGCGTGCAAGCTTTCCCGAAAGCTTTGCTCAGCTCAGCTGAGACCGGCTTATTTATTGAGCACACACCAGTTCATTAAGCACCAAGCAGTCAGAGGAGTAAATACGCTCACGAGCTTTTACTCAACGTAGTTTAGTTAGGATTTTAGGCGCGTAGTTGGTTTTTTAAAATCTAATTTCTGAACTAAATGCCTCAATACACTCACCTCTTATTGCCATCCGCATCCGTATAGCTGCTCCTGTAGGCACCATATAGATTGTCCAAATTGCAGTCAAAGCTAGCGGACAGCGTATAGGCCTTGTTCATGCTCAGCACCTCCTTCAGCTCGATGATCAGAAGCTCTCGCGTATCATCCAAATAATATTTGTCGATGGCGATGCGCATGCGCGCCATCATATTCAAAATACTAATGCCATGCACATTCAGATCCTTGGCGTGCAGCACTATCAAGTTTGTCACTGCGTCCAGCTGGAACTGTATGGAGACGGTGCCCTCACAGGTTCCAGTCTCCAGATCGGGATGCATATAGAGTCGATAGCGTATGGGCCTCAGCTCAGTCGGCAGCCGATATACAATCTAGTTGCAGTTGTAAAGATTAGGTGAATATACATAAATGATAACAAGGAAGTCGTTAAAATACGATAAGGCACGCGATAAAGAACATTATTATTGGTCGCTATCTTAACTAACTGGACTGAGTCCGCCACAATAATATCTGACGCATATATCCCGTAAGTATTCTTGTCTTTATTAGTAAACCATATCTGGGAACAGTTTGTTAAATAGTTCAGAATTCGCTGCGCAAGTGCGCCTCAAACTGTTCTGTTGGATCGGACAGCACATTGGTCTGTATATAATCCTCCAGCACATCGAGTTTCTCTCGGGCCTCCGACAGCTGCAGCATAAGATTGTCCCTGTGCACCACAACAATGACCAGTGCCACGGCCAGGCAAGTGGACAGCAGGCCAAAGAAAATGGCCACACGCTCCGCTGTGATATTATCTAACGGATATAACTGCAAGCTTTAGCCCAGAAATTTCTCGGTATTGACCATGCCTCACCCTTTAGATTCGCCATTAATCTGCCCATTTTAAGTTACCAATTTGTACGAAGGCTGCAACCAAACTGACCGCTGGTCAACGCGCAGCGTTTTTTTTGGCAAGATAAAAAAAAACTGGGCAAAAACCCAAGCCGATAATCGACCCCAGAAAAAAAACCTAAAGGCCTATATGGTATGATAATATGTGAATTGGTGCTAATGCCGCCTTTACGGCACAATGACTGGGGCTATAAATAAGACAAGGTACATACCTCTTCGGGATTGGGCAGTCCGGTGGGCAGAGTGGGGTAGATGGGATTCGGATTGGCAGACGTCGAGCTGGGCGTAGTGTTGCCTTGGGTGGTGCCGCCACTGGGCGTGGTGCCGCCACTGGGCGTGGTACCGCCACTGGGCGTGGTTACGCCACCTGGAGTGGTGCCGGCACCTGGTGTTGAGTCGCCCGGAGATGTACCTGGGGAGGTGCCACCGCTGGGTGTTGTAACTCCCGACGTGGTGCCCACGGTGGGACTGGCTGTGGTTGTACTAGAAATGAGCACCTCCAGCTTATCCATGGCATCTTGTAGATCATTCTCCAGATTAGCGTTCTCCACGGCCAACACAATTGTGGCCACACAAAAGGCTGTTGTGGTCAGGCCCAAGCAAATGGCCACCGCCTTGACCGTTAGCCCTGATCGAAAATGGATTATAAATTCCATATATATCATTTTTATAGCAGTTGTAACACTCACAGGCAACCATTTTTTTATGTAATATAAAGTCCTTGCTCTAGGATTCGCGCTCTTGCCAAATCACTTGCACTGTGCAGCGCGTTTGGACTCAAACTAACTGGAAAAGTCGCATCTGAAAAACAATTTGGACTCGATTAACAGATTATTGATATCTGGCCAATTGGGCTGGGCCATAGTTAACGATATGGGGCTAGTGCGATATCATTATAATGGGGGGCTCTTAACTTTATTTTGTCCAATATATCCATATATCCGACGTGGCCGGTCTGATTCGGAGTTGGGTTTACGAGTATGACAGGCATTTTTTATCGTAGCTATCGAAGTGCCTGTGCCTGGTTTTTTTAGGGCCATAAAAATCGCCACTCGGATGTGTAAAATAAAATGCATACTTTATATTTACGACTTGATTTTGGTCTACTTTATTGTTATATTTCTTGGCCATTCGCCTTATTATGCAAGTAATTGAGGAAATATTCCACGGAACGGAATTTATTGAATATGGGAAATTTGTGGTCAAATTTTTACAATGGGATTTTAGAGGTCAATGGGGCGGCCGTACCGCTCAGCCAGCTGGCAATGTCGTCGGAGTTCTCCTTAAGCCAATTAATATTGTATTTGATTGTCTCCACAGCCTGCTGCCTGGAACTGGCACCCGCTCCGGAGTCTGGATACTTGGTGTAGAACTCCTGCACCTCATCCAGCTTTATCTCGCTGGCAAATCGGCTCGTTATGCTGGTTATCAGCTTGCCCAGATTGCGATCATTAAGGCCAAATCGATTGATGAGCTGTGGCCACTGCTCGCGATAGTAGTCCCAGACAATGGGCTGACCCACCGGATTGGCGGCGATGTTCTGCACACAGGTGAAATAGTCCTGGGAGCGCACAATGCTCTCATCTGTGGCCAGCTCGAGGAAGCGGTAGAGCAGCTGACTATCCTGCACAGCCGACAGGCCGTACATTAGCTTCGATTTCTCGCTGGCATCGGACTCGGCCTTGAACAGCTCCAGCAGCTGCTCCCAGCTGGCCTCGCTGCTCGTCTGCTGCATGCCATAGTAGTAGACCAGCTCGCGCAGATCGGGCGCTGGGCGATTGGCGGCGGTTGGCTCGTTTAGCCACTTGGTGAAAAGCTCCTCGGCTTGCTGCAGGCAATCTTCCACGCCCAAGGCACAGGCTGCACCCAGCACAGAAACACGGAGGCGGCTAAGGGAAGAGCGAGTTAGAGTAGCTTGCAGCCAGCTGGGATATATCCCATATATATTTAGTATGATTCTCACTCACTTGCCCAAATGGTTGTCCTTGTCGACTGTCCAGCCGACCTCCTTGTAGACATTGGTCAGCAGCGTGCGCGCATAGCTCAAATAGGAGACATAGCTCTCGGTGAACATGAGGTTCCTTCTGAGCGTCAGCAGCTTGGAGGTGGCCACATACCAGGGCACAAAGTCCGTCTCCTGCGCCAGGTAGGCGGTCATCTCCAGCGGCACGCTGTACGACAACTGGCTGGCATCGGCCAGGGCGAAAGCATCGTCTAGCAGATGTGCACGATCCGCAATATCGAAACGCGTTGGTTGCTCCACCAGCTCCTGGATGAGCTGCTGCCAAATGCTGGACTCATAGTTGACGCGATAGTAGCCAAGCTGATGGGAATTCAGTTTGAGCCATTTAACATCCGTGGTGACAGGCACGTCCGCCTCATCCTGATCATATTCGAATAATGAGCTGTGCACCTCGTTGCTCTCCGACGTGTCCAGGAAATAGGTTATGGCCACACTCCACCTATAGCCAAATTCAGTGGACTCTACCGCCTCCTCATAGCTGGCCTTGTTCGAGAGGAAACGCTGTTGGCTAATGATGAAGCTGGTTTCGCTTGCGCGCCGCACGTTGAGCACCGGATAGCCCATCTGCTCCGTCCAGGTGCGCATAAATTGCTTCACATTGAAGGCGCTGACCTGAGCGGCCACCTCCGTAAGGAAGTCATCGGTGACAGTGTTGGCGTACTGAAATTTGGTTAAATAGCTGGTGACCGCCAGCTCGAACTTGTCGGCGCCGACAACGGACTCCAGCATGCGCAGCACAGAGCCCGCCTTCTCGTAGCTGATGGTATCGAATATGGCCGTGATTTCATCCGGAGATTCGACTTTCTGTACAATGGGATGCGAGGAGAGCTTGGCATCGAACAAGAGCACCGGATGCAGTGCCATTATTTGAAATTGTTCCAGCTAAAGGAGAATAAAGAGAATGCGAATAAGATGGACTGTTCGATATGAGTCCCTGAGCTCGAGCTTACCATGCCCCAATCTGGATGCACTGCATGCACGCCCTTGTACTGCATAAAGCGTGCGAAACCCTCGTTTAGCCACAAATCATTCCACCACTTCATGGTGACCAGATTGCCAAACCATTGATGGGTAATCTCATGAGCCAACACACCGGCTATGGACTGTTTATTAAGCGTGGAGCTGTAGTCCTCATCGTAGAGCAGCGCAGTCTCCCTGTAGGTGACCAGGCCCCAGTGCTCCATGGCATTGGAGGCAAAGTCCGGTATGGCAGCCATGTCCAGCTTGGGTAGTGGATATTCGACATTAAAGTACTGTATGTAATATTCGGTGACGGCTGTGCCAAATTCCAACGCGTATTTCACTTTATTCAGCTGATGGGGCGTGGCAAAGGCGCGCATCGAGAAATCATTGCCAATGCCATTCGCATTCACCGTGCTCGACTCCGAGTCAAAATCGGAGACAATGATGCAGGCCAAATAGGTGCTCATGGCCACACTGGTCTGAAAGGTGGCCATCGTGTTCTCGCCCAGATTTGTCGTCTCCTGCATTAAATAAGATGAACTCCAGGCTCGAAGAAAAAGAAAACAATGCTATCCACACACGTTCACCTACCGTTTGATCCATGTTGGAGAGAGCGTGGTAGGAACCGGAACTGGGATGCACCACGCTGATGGCATACGTGGCCTTTAGGGCGGGCTCATCGAAGCAGGGAAAAGCCTGTCTCGCATAGGTGGGCTCAAATTTGGTGGTTGCAATTTCGCTGCACGAGAGAGAGAGTGTGTGTGTGTAATGTGTGGCATGCTTTTAGGCTGTGACACAATGAAGCCCAGAGGCCCGCGCTCTACTCACCGAAGCTGACCGGCTGGCGTTGTATAGCTGCTGCTGTAGAGCCCAACCAGCTTGTTGATCGACTGACCCTCGAACACGATGCCCAGCGTGATGACCGCATCCACGGGCAGCTGCTCTTGCATATTGATGATGAGAAACTCGCGCACCTCGTCCAGCTCATGGCTCTCCAGCTCCCGATTCTCCACATAAACGCTGGTTATGTTTAATTTGTGGGAATGCAAAACGATTTGGTTGGTCGCCTCTAGCACTTTTATTTTGATTTTCTCTTGGCCCGTAAAGGTGCCCGCTTCCAAATCGGGATGCAGATACAGATCATAATGCTGGGGCTCGAGTGCCGTTGGCAAGCGATAATCAATCTGCTTGGACAGAGTATGCTGATAAGCTAACCGACCCGCTTTTAAGCATTAACACACACACACACACGGACACTTACCTCCTCTAGAGTCTGACGCTTCTGACGGTTACTGTCCACTGCAAGCTGCGATCCATTAAGCGCCTCGTACATGTCAATCTTTTCGCGCATATCCCGCAAATCCGCCTCCAGCTGGTTGCGCTGCACAGCGACCACAATTGTGGCCGCCGCAAAGGCCGCAACGGCCCAAAACAGAGCCACCCGTAAACAATTGCCGTGCAGAAACATCTTAGCGGCTCGGACGACGGCAGCTAACTGAAGAAATTGGCGACACTTTAGCCATATTCATAATAGAGCCAACCGATTGTAGCCATATTTTTGAAGCTCATTTTTAATAATGGGCACTTGAGTCACTTTATGGCCAACATCGCCGATAATGCGCGTACAACTAGAACTAAAAGCGATTTGCCGTCCATTTGCTGCTGCCCCACCTGATAGCTAACATAGTTAATGGAGCAGCAGAGATCGCTCAGCGATGACAAACTGAGTCGCAAGCAATATAATTATTTCGACACTTATCGAGCTGTTACACTCTACCCTCATACCACATGGGGCAAGGGGTGGGCCTATTGGGCTTGTGCTGTGTACAATTCAACCAATTCCATTTGCATATTTTGGCTTGTGTCTGTCCAAGTGCCACGCCCACTGGCAGCTTTGATAATCGGTAACGTGTAAATGTCACACAGATACGCTACCAACGACATGTCAAATAGATAACATAAAAAACATGTTTTTAATGACCTGATAACCAACGAGTTACAAGATTCGACATGTAGCTTCTAGTATAGTATGTACTTTCATTCTGGGGCCAAGCAAATTGTTGGTATGGATGTGAGGTCTAATTGTGGGCTCCAAAAATTCCCCAGGGGAAAAAACTTACTTTATCTTTAATTTGTTTTTATTAAGTCCTATATTTCTTTACCCAATAAATGGGTAAGAAAAAGTAAAAAGCTAAGGCACTTGCTGTTAATAGAGAAAGGTTGAGAGTATGCCCTAGTCGGGCACCCCCCACTAGAGCAGCCTTGCTTGTTTTTTTGTTCAAGAAACGTTTAATCTTTATTTTACGTATACGCAACGTGTATTTTCTTATTATGGCAATTCGATGAGCACGATACTGTGACATTTTTGCGGTGTTCCGTTAGCCCCCTTGGTCAGCTGCCTGCCCTAGTGCAGTCGCTGCTCCTGCGTGTCCAGCCAGGCGTCGACACTTTCGAGATTTTCGGCCAGCCAGACAATATTATTTTTGACCGTCTCCAGTGCACGGACGCGTGCTGCTGTGCCCGCGCCAGCTTCTGGATACTTGGCAAAGAACTGCTCCATCTCCTCGAGTTTCGTTTGGGTGTGGAAACGAGCCGTTATCGAAGGTATCAGATTGCCCAGATATCGTTCGTTCAGACCGAAGCGTTCCACCAGCTGCAGCCAGTTCTCGCGCACATAGTCCCACACGAGCGGCTCACCCATGGGATTGGCCGAGATATAGGTTAGGCAGGTGAAGTAGTCCTGACCACGCACATACTCTTCGTTCCAGGCCAGATCAATGTAACGCTGCAGCAGCCAAGGCTCCTGTATGGCGGCCAGGCCATACATAAGCTTCGATTTCTCGCTGGCGTCGGCCTCGTTGATGAAGAGCTGCCAAACGGTTTCCCAAATCTCCTGATTGCCCGCCGACTGCATGCCATAGTAGTAGACCGTCTCGCGCACATCGGGACTGGGACGCTCATCGGGCGTGGCCAGCCAGTTCTTGAACTGCTGACCGCCTTCAGTCAGGCAGGACTCGAGACCCAAGGAGCAGGCGGCGCTCAAGGCGGTCACTCGCAGACGGCTGAAGAGAGAAAACAAACGAGGAAAGAGAATCCGAGTTAGATAAATTGTAGTAGAGCAACAAAAGAAAACAAACAATCAAATTAGAAACGATATAGTCAAGGGTGCACGACTGCGAAATACCCTGTACACTGCTTTTAACTGATGTGACGATATTTTTCAATGGTGAAACATTCTCGCCTGTTTATATCCCAAAATTAGTATATCTAGGTTTTAAGATCGAAATTGATCGATTTCCGATACATGTCAGTAGTTATCCATTACTTAAAATAAAATTTAACATATTGTAGTTCTTAAAAGCTTCGATATTTATATCGTAGACCTATCAAGAAAATGTAGTCCTTATAACCTACAACTCAAATGTATGTCTTAAATCAATTTATTTAGACTCAGCCCGACTTCATGATCAATTATATTTTATAGGTATGTTCCACAATGAAAACTCTAAAAACAGATACTCCTGTTAGTCGGGCACCGCTTTTATGCGGACATTAGCTCTTAAGCCATTATAGATCTTTTCAGTTCACTTGCCGCTATTGGGCGGACGCTCCTTTTGGTCGCTGTTCGCCCAAGATTGTTTTCACTATACTACAGTGCTGCACCACAGTAAAAACTAGGCAATTACTTTAGGCTAAAACTAACGGACACTTCTTTTAGGCTTCTCTGACTCTAGTCCGGCTTCAACTATTCCTCCTCTATTAGGCAAGCTCTCCTCTAAAGCAGACACCATTCACCCGACGGTCACGATCGGAGCAGCTTTCTTTTGCCTGTCATAAATTGTTAAAAATTTCCATTGCCAGAGAAAACCCCGTGGGATTCCCCGTGTGCTTAGCTTTTAACAAATCGCCACATACTTATCCAAATGATCCTCGCCCACAGTCCAGGTGAGGGACGTGTAAATGGGCTCAATCAGAGCTGTGGCATATTTCTTGTACTTGACATAGCTGCTGGTGTAGAACAGGGTCCGCTTCAGGGATGTCAGCTTGGAGGCAGCCACGCTCCATGGCACATAATCAAGCTCCTTAGCCAAATACTTGGTCATGTCGAAGGCAATCTCATAGGGCAGCTGCGTGGCATCGGCCAGGGCAAAGGCATCGTTGAGCAGGGAGGCACGGTCACCAGCGCTGAATGCGTCCGGCTTGGCGACCATCTGATTGGCCAGCGCCTGCCACAGGGACTGATCGTAGTTGACGCGATAATAGCCAACCTGATCGTGATTAAACTTGATCCAATCCACAGCGCTGGGCAGAGTAATGGTGACTGTATATAGATTGATTTGATAGTGATCATTATGGTTTGGTATGGACTGGAATATAGATGCCGGCACTTACTTTCGCTCTGATCGTGATAAAACCAGGCGCGCTGCACCGTGGCATCTGCGCTGGTGGTATATGTGATGGGTATGGACCAGCGATAGCTGCAATAATAATAGATAATATATGTGTGAACATTTCAATCTGATAATCCAGACAGTAAACAAATAAAGATAAGGCAATAAATAGCTGGGCAACTTACTCGAATTCCGAGTACTCGTGCACTGCATCATAGTCATTCGGATTGGCCAAGAAACGCTTCTGCGTTAATTTGTATTCCGTGTCCGAGACCTTGGTGATCGTGACCGCCGGCAGACCCATCTACAACGAATTGGGTTAAATGTCTATGCAAATCTGGCGGGCATGCTGCACAAAGCGATCTACTTCACCTGCACTGTCCAAGTGAGCATTATATCAGACACATTGTACTCCAGACCCAATTTATCAATCTCCGCAAAGAAGTTGTCTGTAACGGCGTTCTCGTATTTGTATTCATTTAGATAATTGGTAACCGCTGTGCGAAAGATTGTCTCGCCCAGAAAATCTTCCAACATGCGCACCAGAGAGGAGCCTTTGGAATACGTAATGGTGTCAAAGATTTCCGTTATCTGATCGGGATTCTCAACCTTCTGAATGATGGGATGCGAGCCCAGAGTACCATCCAGAGTAAGCACTGAATGCAAAGTGCTGACGATAAACTGATCTCGCTGTAAAATAAAAAAATATATATTAATTAAATTGTACATAAATAAATAAAAATAATATTTAATAAAATAAAATAATTAAGGGTGGCCTAGTCGGAGGTGCCTGATTAGGGGAAGAACTTTTTTCCACTAGCACCAAATGCCTTAGTTTCACACTTTTCATTACCTTTTTAATGGACAAGGGCAAGGACAAGGACAAGGTATGAAAAAAAATTTTAAAAAATGTATTTCACATTGCCGGTTTTAAGCCCGTGACTACCTTCATCCGACATGAAATATACTTCTGTTTATAACCTACTAGAAGCTACTGCCATGGTGAAAAAAACAAAGAGATTTGCGCAAAATAGAGGATCTCGATATCGACTTATATTGCCTTATATTGTTTGGGAACGAGGCGAGTTATCGATTATCGGAAACAAACTTTTACTGCGCGGGCACTAGGAGGGCCTATTTGAAGTCTGTAGCTCTTATAGCTTCTGTGATCATATAGTTCATACGGACTGCCGAACATGGCAATATCAACTAGACTGTTGATGCTGATCAAGAATATTTATATGGGTAGCATCCTCAGATGCTGTCTTTTGCCTGCTATATAAACCTTTGCACCGCTATAATATTTTTAACCATTTTCAATGATTTCAGGGTATAATAAATAAAATAATAATAAAGAAACTGTATGTATATATAAAATAAATTTATGGCCCGACTTTATGGATCGACTTACCATGTGCCATTCGGGAAAGACGGCATCCACGCCGAGATACTCAATGAAGCTAGCAAAGCCCTCGTTTAGCCATAAATCATTCCACCAATGCATAGTAACTGATAGCAGGAAAAATCGAAAAAAATATATATATGTATATCAGTTGGGTTAATCCTCCTTATCAGTGGAGGGGACATACCTAAGTTTCCGAACCACATGTGCGCAAACTCGTGCGCTATCACGCTGGCGATGCGCTGCTTATTCACAGTGGAGCTGGTGGCCTCCTCGTAGAGGAGCGATGTCTCCCGATATGTGACCAGACCCCAGTGCTCCATGGCACCGGACACGAAATCGGGTATGGCCGCCATATCTAGCTTGGGCAGCGGATACTCAATTTGGAAGTAATCAATATAGTACTCGATGACGCCCTTGCCCACTGTTAGTGCAAAGTCAACCTTGTCGATCTGCTCGGGCGTGGCATAGACCCCCATGTCGAAGGCCTCGCCAATGCCCTTGGTATCAATCTGCACCGTTTTGGCGTCAAAGTCGGAGACAATGAAGCACGCCAGATATGTGCTCATGGGCACGCTCTTGGCGAACCTGACCTCCGTGTAGGTGCCCTTGTCCAGTTCCGATTCCTGGTTCATGTTGGAGAGCGCATGATAATTGTCGCCCGTCGGATGCACCAAAGTGATCTCAAAGGTGGCCTTCAGAGCGGGCTCATCGAAACAGGGGAACGCCTGACGAGCGTAGGTTGGCTCAAACTTGGAGGTGGCTATCCATTTGCGGCTCTCATCGGCCTTCACATACGAGGAGCTGTACAGACCCACAATTTTGCTGGCCATATTACCGGAGAATTCGATATTGAGCAGCACGAAGGCGCCCGCGGTCAGTTTCGTATTCAAATTGATAATGAGGAATTCCCGAACGGTATCAAATGTGTGATCTGTGACCAAAATGGTGGCCTCATCCGATTGGAAGACATGCACTCCATTGATCTCCAGATAAAGTGAATGCAGTATTATCTGGTCCGTGGCCTCGTTGACGGTTATGTTGATTGTCTCCTCGCCAGTAAAAGTGCCCGTATCAATGTTTGGATACAAATAGAGATCATAATTGTTGGGTACCAAGGCGCTTGGCAGGCGATAGTCAATCTGTTCCGGCGCCGCAGTTGTGCCCGGCTCCGGAGTTGGGCCCGCACTGGTGCTCGACGGCGCCGCCGTGCTGGACGCCAGGCCCGCCTCGAGCAGATCGAGCTTATCCTGTGCGTCGCGCAAATCGGCTATCAAGTTCGCCTTCTGCACGGCCAGCACAATTGTGGACACGGTAAACGCCGTCAGCGCGACGCCCAGAAAAATACTAATCAATTTAGCGGTTATAATCATTTTCGTTTGCGGCCTCAATCCAAAACCGGCGACATCTGAATCGCAACTAAGCGCCCAGCAGGGACGCACAATGATAGGTAGCTCACGAGCCGTCACACTATATCTTAATTGGACGCTGAGTGATACCGTCATGGACTGATTGCTAATCTAATCGCAATCGCAAGTCGAACCCGGCACTCATCCACGTCAAGAGCAATTGCTGCGATGCGGCCATAAGTTTGTGTATTTCATATATATATACATATTTATCTGGCATATTTACGGGCCAATCCATTCTGTCCGCATTAGCGGATTCGATTAGAAAGCCAAAAATCTGCGCGTTTTTCCTGCGCAACAAGAATTCCCAATCTTTTGAAAAATTATTGCAGAAACTCCCGGCGCCAGCTTCCTAACTTTCCCTAGCGCCGGCGCCCACATGTGTGTACATGTATACATATATATCCTATATTTGTGTTGAGACCAATTGACCAAAGTTTTTACCCAAATTGACTACCTGATCGATTGCGAGCAGCTCGCCCGGCTTTGGTTTTGTGTATTACCCCGGCGCCTTAGGTATTTAAAAAACCCTTTTCCGGTGCCTACGACAACGCGGGATTCTCGGCCTAATTAGAGACTTTTGGTATTTTCATTGTGTTAAAACCCAAAACATGAAATTTCCGCGCATGTTTTTCAAATGCCTGGCAATATGTAATATTATTTCCCTTATCATAGGAAAAAAAGTGTGGCACGATTTACGGGAACATGCGCATATACATCCATTAATCTATGCCAATAATATTGTCGCTCGTCCATGGAATTTGGAAATTTGGCTATAAATTAGGATTAGATATGAGTTGTGAGTGAACTAAGCCGTTATCATTATTACAAGCACATTTATAGTTTAATCAAATGGTAATCTATCCACTAGGAGAGACTCGCGTATGTGTCGGACAGAGCTGCCAGATCTTATGTGTTTATTTGGTTTTATATTACATATATATTAAGAACACATTCAAATGTATATTGAAATATTTTTAGTTTAATCAAGCATCTATCCAAAAAGCAGTGGACAAATTAAAGTACAGTCTGTGCGTCTAAGAGTTGCCAGACCGGCAACATATGTCCTTTTTTAGTTAAAATATCTTCTTTCACAACTTCAGAGTTTTTCTAGAAATAAAATTAAATTTTCACGCTATTCAAATGTGTATAAATAATTTTAGTTGAATTCAATTTTTATCTAAATAACAGTAGTCCAGTCTGTCCGACTGAGAGTTACCAGATCGTTAACAATCGTTCGATTTTAGTTTATATATATGTATTCTTAAATAACTTTAGTGTTTTTATTCCAATTATACTTCTAGATTCTATATTCACAAGTATAAGCGAACCCATTTCAATGGGTACAGGGTATCAGTATGTCTGTACATACATGCATACATATATTACAGAAATTATCATAAAACTTGTTGATTTATGATAATGGCTTGTAATTGAACTTTGCCTTATGCGACTGACTCATGCCGTTTTGGCCAAATCGTGGCATTTACTGTTGTCCGGAAATACCAATATTATGGGCGAGCATGGGCAATTCTGGCTGGCAGGCTAGAGCCTGGTCGAGGGATTCACAAACAGCTTACCGCAAAGCGCAATTAATTTTCCATATTCTTTTATTTGTCATATGTTTTGTTAGATAATTGGCTTTGCCAGCCGAGTTGGCAAAACACAGGACTACAGCCCGGAGTACGGCTGAAAATGCACGCCGTACGCCGAGCATTGATATTGAGCAGTTGGGAAAATCCACGAAAGTGAATGGATTCGATTGAGTTTCATTCATGAGCACGTACGTGCGCTGTAGGAGATCTACCTGCCTAAGCGTGGGAAAGTTGATGGCGACGAGGATCGACGCCGCAGGACGGACGCCGGGCAGGTAGAGGGGAATAAAACTGGGCTGCTCCGCAATTGCGTCGGGCCAGGATCTGTTGGGTTATTTGTAAGGCGCTGGGAGTTTCTTCTGTTCATGAAAAAGTCCCAAGTGGACAAAAGGCAAATTTCCGGTTTTTCGCTGTCGCCTCGTATTTCCCACGGCCCAAGCTTGTGACTTGGTATAAAAACTAGGCCCGGGCTCCTGACAGCCCACAGTCGACCCAACGACATCACAGAGATCACACACACACACATCCAACGACATTATGTTTTATATCATACAAATTTTCCTGAGCTTTGCCAGTAGCGCTTCGTCGGCCAGCTTAGTGGAGCCGATGAACTACTATCAGTATACACAATTCCAGGCGCCGCTCTCCTGGGAGGCCATCAGCAGCAGCAGCTTGGACCAGGCCATCAGCAATTGCCAGCAGAGCTTCAAATGGCAGCGCTGGAATTGCCCCAGCAGCGACTTTATAAGGCGACGCACGGCCCCGAGTGGCGCCCAGGAGCTGGATCGCGAGGATGTCTATGTGGCCGCCATATCCATGGCCGCCATATTGCACACGCTAACCAAGGACTGTGCCAATGGTGTTATCGCCGGCTGCGGCTGCAGCGACAATGCCCTGAACGTGCCCTGCGCCCATGAGCCGGCCAAGGCGATGCAGCTCTACGAGCAGCGCTATGGCATTGGTGCCGGTGCTCCGGCGCATAATCAGCGCGTGGTTGGTGCCCTGTTGGAGCGTTCATTGGAGCAGGAGTGCCACTGCAAGCGGCACAACGCACAGGGCGGCTGCCTCGAGGAGCAGTGCGTGCAGGTGCTCAAGCCCTTCGAGTCTGTGGCACAGGATCTGCTGAACATGTACGATGATGCCATACAGCTGGACACGACCACAAGGAATCTGAAGATCATGTGGCAGAACATACCGCTGGACTCGCTCGTCTACATGCTCGACTCGCCCAACTATTGCCAGCCCGAGGCCAGCGGACGCTGGGCGGGCACACGTGGCCGCCAGTGCGCCAAACATACGGCCAGCAGCGCCGATGAGCGTCTCTCCTGCCAACAACTGTGCCGCGTCTGTGGATTCCGTGTGCGTTCCCAGCATGTGCGCAGCGAGCGGCGATGCAACTGCAAGCTGGCCTGGGGATTTCGTTTGCAGTGCGATGTTTGCGTCCAACTGGAGCGACAATACAGCTGCTACTAATCATACAGAGAGAGAGAGAGAGTGGGAGAGAGTGCTAGACTGAGCGAAATGTCAATTTGGGGCGCTGGTTGAGCCACGCAACAGCCACAACAACAGCAACAACAATAGCTTTAATTAGTTGCCTAGACTTAAGTTAATTTATTTGTACTCAGCACTAATTTATTACCTAGACAATAACAATAGACAAAAATAAATAAATACGTAACTGTAAATCGATATTTTGTATTTGTGCATAAATCACTGAGGCAACTCTTGACATTGACTGCATTTATTTGCACATGTGTAAAGTCTGTGTAAAGTATCTGTTGAAAATAGTTTATTTCTAAACGTTTTTCATTTGTTTCCATAGAAAAGAAAATATATATGCATGTATGTATGTATGTCTGCGAAGGTATTTTTACATTGAAAGCCAACAATTAGTGTAGTTTCTTGATTTGTATACCCTTGTAGAAGGTATTATAATTTATATATGTATATATATTGTTGATCAGCAGCGAAAGCCAAGTTGATACACCATATCCGTCTGACTGTTTTTACGCGAACTAATCTCTCAGCTTTAAAGCTATTGTCTTGTAGCCTTGCATAGGTCCGACATTCTGTTGCAGGCCGTATCGGACCTCTATCTCAAATAGCTGCCTGAGAAACGATTGGTCAAAAACTAGGTTCTCTTAAGAACATTTTTTGTTTCAAGAAATTTTAAGCACTTACTAGTTACTATATAGTTAACTATGAACCATCTCATATCACATATCGTGTTGTTTATGATTCAAATTTTTTAGAACAATCGCATAGACAAATTTTGTTATGAAGCTACTAATATTTTAGCTTCATTTTTCAAAGAACCAACGGATTGAAGATATATGTTTAAAAAAAAAAAGGTAAATTATTTACAAAAATAATAAATCTATTATCAAAGATCTATATGCTAACAGATAATTTCATTATCCAGCTCTTATATGAGAATTATATCTAGATTATATCTAATTGCTTTTTTAGATGATTTTCTAAGCTATTTTAATCTATTAATATCTAATATCTATTATTTTTTAATACCCAATTAAAAACACAGCGAGACACCCGATTTGTTTTTATTTATTTTTATATATTTTGTAACTTAATGCGATACTTATGCAATTTGTATGTTTTGTTTTTTTAACTAGCTGTCTAAACTCTCTCTCTCTCTCTCTCTGTCTCTGCCTCCCTCCCGCTAATTGACCCAGGTGGTGGGTTTGCCCTCCACCCGGTAGCCATTGTAGGCCGCAGCTGCGGATGAGGCAGCTGCCGCCAGTTCGGACCTTCGGCTTGGCTCGCTGGCCCAATACGAGGGCGCCACCTCATACGATTGCATCATTTTGTTGCTGTTCTTGATGGCCGACAGGATGAGCAAGAATATAGCCAGTTTGCCCACCAATATGGACTTGACCAGCAGCAGCTTCAGCTTGGTAACCAAAAACGGCACAATCGCCGACTGGATGAGAAACGGCAATATGAACAGCGGCAACACCTTGGTGATCATATCGTACTTCTTGCCACGACCTAGGATTCAAATGCAACTGTTCAACATGGCTGTTATTATGCAATAATCTCTTGCGGACTCACCCTCCTCGCTGTTGTCCGTGGTCAGCCAGCGAGCGCCGATGATCTCTCTGAGGTTCTCACCATCCATTTTGACCCGCACAATGTGATTGCTCATGTCCAGGCTGACATTGAGACCGGGTCCCACATGGTAGTGCTGCACGTTATCGAATGTGGCATCCTCTGCCAAACTGGGCTCTGCTTCGAGCAGCTGCTCTTCCAGCCTCTGGTTGCTGTTGTTGTTGTTGTTGTTGCTGTTGTTGCGGTTCTTGCGTTTGCGCTTGCGCCTCTTCTTGCCGCCCGCCGTCTCATTGTCATCATAGATGGGCGTGTCGGTCTGTGCCTCCAGCAGCGCCTCCGCATTTGCCTCGTTGCGCAGCTCCTGCGCGAGTGCATCATCAATTTCCAGCTGCTGCTGTTGCTGCTGCTCCAGCTCCTGGTACTCGACTGCCTCTGTGGCAGCCTCCGCCTCATTGTTGGCCAGCTTTGCCGCACTCACGCGTTCCCGCAGTCGCTTTCTGTATTCACTCGTCGTCTTGTTGCCCAGATAGGTGCTCTTGTAGTTCTTATAGATGCCCATATAAATGTGCGAGTTCTTCTTTAACGCCTGCTTATCCTCCGGCTCATAGCTGCTGGCCAAGCCGCGTGCTGCCTCCGTGGCAGCCTCCTCTGGAATGGGGCTGTTTGCCTCGCTGGTGTCCTGGCTACTGGCAAAGCTGACGCACAGCGCACAAAACAATAGGAGATTCAGTAAGCGGCTCATCTTTGGCGCATGTCACTTGCTCTTAACGAAAACTGTGTGTACACCACGCGCTGGCCAGACACAGAATGTGGCACGATCGATGTGCCACATGTATTTTATCAACTCAGTGGAAGCAGTTGGAGCTGCAGCTGCAGTCGCTGTCGCAGTCGCAGTTGTAGTTGCAGTTGCAGCCTCCGCAGCGAGGAAAGCCAAGACCAGATCTGGCTACATTCTGCTGGAATTGGCATTGGAATTGGGCACAGCCAGCTTTAGACGGTGTCACTGCAACGGTGGCAACAAGCTGCCGCATGTGTCTATCGAAGAATGAGACGCGCTGCGCCTGTTCTGAATCTTCCTCAATTAAATTGTGTTCAAAACATAGTCGGACTCTCGCGCTGCGAACATGAAAAATAATTGGAGCAGGCCTGCAATTTCTCATTGAGCTCCAGCATTGATTTCTTTTAGCTGTAATTGCCGCGCCCCCTGCACTCAACCCCTCAGGCTATTAGCCATAAATAATATGAAAACGTTAAGTAGTCTGAGCTGGTCTCTGGTGTGGACCATGGTAACGGTCGCTCGTGTAATTCTTTGGCCATAACCAGAGACAATTAGCTCTGACGGCTATAGCATGAGAAAGTTGTTGACAGAATTGGTTGTTTTGCCAATGCCCTGCTTCTTCTTCTCCTGCTTATTCTTCTTCATCTTCGTCTTCTGAAATTGCTCTGGTTGAGCTAGGAGCGGGTGTCTTACTAAGACCACAACTGAATTGGAAATCCAGGCTAGAAAGTAAATTCTGTAGCACGAAAAATCCGCTTAACACATTTGGTCTTTCCACTAACAACTTTCACATAACTGATGTCGTTTATTGAAACCCGTTGTAAAACGATTCTGAGTCATTTTTCAGCATAATTTACATAAACCTGAAACCGAATTTGGTAGATAACTGTTTTCATGTAATATAATGGCTCGCAATAGATCTTGACACAACTGAAGTTGAATGTTTTATAATTAATTATTTTCATTTCGTGGACTTGGATTTATTCCTTGTATTTGATTATAGAGTAGTTACATTTAAGAGGAAGAGTTAATTTTATAGGACTTTCTTTCTTCTTTCTTCTTTTTATATAAATAAATTTTTTGATAGAAACTATCTTTTTATAATACTCTCTTTTCTTATAGTTTTCTTAAACTCTATAAATGAAACTATTTTTCCTGACTGACTGAATGATTGAATGACTGACTGATTGATGATCAATGCACAGCCCAAACCATATGAAGGTGCAATTTGCACGTTAAGACGGGGTTTCGGGAAATTTCAACCATAAGTGTGAAAAAATCGTGAAAAAAAGTTTGTATGAAACTTTTTTGATTACTCTTCAATCGGCCTCAAACTCAATTTCAAAGATCTTTGTTCAAATTCATTTGAGGGGTGTTTCACACTTTTCGAAAAATGCATTCCTCCTTGGTGGAAGTGGGGATCAAAGATTTGGCAAATTCATTACCAATGATCTATATGAAAAACCATTTGGGACGTGTTTCATATCTATATGATAATGATGCGCTTATCGAAAAAGCTTGAAAATAATACTCTAAATATTAGGGAATATTAAAATCTTTATTTAGCTGGCTTGAGGTCTGGGGCATAGTTTATTAAAAACAAAAATGAAAAATAATTTTGTTTTTATCTGTATTTTTGCGATATATTTATTTATTTTGCGGAAAAATTAAATATATGTAGAATATAATATAAAAGGATAATATTTTAATGAATACACTCCGAAATATTGTGAAAGTTTTTCTAGGTGAGCGAGCCATTATCTTATAGATCGATACATTTTATAATAGAGTATATAGAAAAATAAAATTGTAATATTTTGTTAAAAGATTCTATGATTTTTTAGTCTAGTCCACTCTATTATAACAGAATAAATTGCATACAATATGCCATAAAATTTGTAAAAATTCTCTTTCTTTATAAGGCCAGACAGACGTTTTTAGCGCTCAACAGTTCATAACGAAAGTGAATTGCGGACTTGAACAATGCCTACGATAAGTATGTACGCACATATAGCATATGTACATGTGTATGCAGCATATGTATATAAACATATTTATCAATGAGAAGCCGTTAGAGACGACGTAAGTTAAATACGTAAAATTAATATGCATTGCCTCATTGTCAATTAGCTGATAAATCAATATTTTTCAGCGTAAAAACAAAAGAAGAAATGAAAGCGAATGGTTCCGCCCATTTGTGGGCGCTGCCCTCAATATATAGACACGCGTCGTGAAAGAATGCCCATGTCGAAGTCTTCAGAGGCAAGCCAAAAGTAAACTCCAACGCTTGCACCTTAAAGGGCACGCAGTTGCCACCGCCACCGCCACCGCCGTGGTGCACAGTGAAAATCATCACCAGCTTTATGCATATTCAAACAATTTATGAAAAAATTTAAAGGAGAACCCTCCTAAAGCCCGACTAGAATATATCTTATAACAAGCGCGGAGCTGCCTTAACATATATTCTAAAATATAGTTAAACTTGCGGAAAAATTAAAATCGATAATAATCGATTGTGAGAAAACGGAGTGAGTTATCGATCTGATAGCCAGATCTACCGTTAATCTAGAGTTAATATACTTTACTAGAATTAAAATACATTTATGATATAACTGTTTCATCCATTTTCCACCCATGAAAAGCTAAGGCTTAAAGTCTAACAAACAAAATTTTGCGAAAAGTGTGAAGCACGTCTGAATAAACTTTTACAAAGATTGATCGGTTGATGTAAAGACAAGCAGGTGGAATTATCGTAGAGCTTTGAAAACAAGCTTGAATGCGAACGGACGAAACTGAAGACTTTGACCAAAAGATTTTTACCAACATTTTTCACCGAGGAGGAGTAGACTTGGTCAACCGGATGGCAAACAAAAATTTGTATATTACCTATTCCGCAATTTGTACACACTTTATGGTGGAATTTAGAAAAAGCAATCCTGAGTGTTCGCTTTTTATATAAGTTGCCTCCTACTGTCTGTTACATACCTTTGCACGAAACTGGCATACACTTTTTAAGCATTCTCAATGGATGGCAGGGTATACCAAAAAAGTGACCAGTTGTCAGATTGGGCATCGAGCGAGGCATTCCTCAAAGCAGCGGCACGAATTGCTTGTTTTGGCGCACGTTCGTGCGACGTCCGGCTGTCGAATTTCAAGTAGCCCCAACAGCGAGTGGCCAAGACCTACGCCCTGATAAAAGCCAATGTCAATTTGGACAGCACATTCAATTGTCAGACAGTGCTGGAGCAGTGTACAGTGGACACGGGCCGCAACTCAAAGCAAACGGATTAAACGAAGGATTAAAGAGTCTCAACAAAATGGCTGCCACTCAGAAAATCGCCCTCACGCTACTCGGCCTGTGCCTGGTGTGCGATCTGGTGCTGTGCCAGCAGCAGGCCGGCAACGACTCGGATGTGGCCGGTCAGTAATTAGCATGGAGCTTTAACTGACTAACCAAAGCTAACCAGATTTTGTTATATTCCAACAGAGAGCCGCACTTTTGGCCATCATTTTCTGCGTCGCATTAGCTTTGCCTTGGTGCCGGGCGCCTTTGTTGTGGGCGTCATAACCACGTTGCTGGCCGCTTTGACAGTGGTCTCCATGAAGGGTCTGGGCGTCGGTGTCATACTGCTCGTGCTGGCCATTGGCCAGATGCTGTCCCGTGCCCTGCCCGTGCCAGCCGCTGCCGCCTATGCCGCAGCGCCCGCTCCCGTGCCCATTGTCTACTCGCACTCGCACTCACAACAGCCCGTCTGGCTGGAGAAGGAGTGGTAACAGATGGAGGCGTGTCTAAGGATTTAGCGAGCTGGTAGCAGGCCACAAAGTATACCTCAGCGAGCGTGCAACCAAATAATAATTTAAGTCTAGTTTAAATTATTTATTTACAACGTTTATTTAATACACAACGCAATTATTTAACGCAACGAAAGGCTCATCAATCAAATCAAATATTTATACATTTGATTTATTTTTTTTTTAATTTTTTTCTTCTGCTTGTTTTTCATGAAAAGTGAAATTTTGATGGGCTTCTCATTTGGTATGCAGCTCAGGAGCTAGCCACGATTTACGGTTCTTTCGCTGGCTCTTCCGTTGCGACGGTTCCAGTTTTGGAAGCGGGCGTATAGAAAGTACTCCCCGACCCCCTGCCCGACCGTCGCAAATGCAGCTTAAAATGGGTCGCAGATAGCAGAAAATCGATACAAAAATAATTATTGAATTTCTCTAGTACTTAGATCTCATTATGGCCAGCGTCTAATTAATGAACTCTCACTTGATTGGCAGTCACTTAATTAAGACGCCGCCAATCTGAACTAGCCAATTGTCAACCAGTTTAAGTCCGGCTACAATTTGTTCCACTTTGCGACAATTTCAAATTTCTAAACGCTGGCATCTCCCCCCTGGCTGATTGATATACGCTCGTGGCTGGCTTTAGCTAAGTGGCTAACATAGTTGGCTGATAAGATAAGGCTGCGCCAAGAGTGTGCTACAAAATCGAAACATGCCTTAAATAACAATCATTAAATTGTGTGATAATCCAGTTGGTTTTTCGGCTCATGACATTGAAATTTGTGCGACCAACAATTGGGGCGGCCATAACTCAACCAAATGGGCCAACAAGCCGATGCCGATGCCGATGCCAAAGTCAATGCCAAAGCAAAAGCCAGCAGCAGCAGCCGCTTTGACCCGCTAAACTAAATCTGAGCACTGAGCTCGAGCAAACCAGTTGGCCAACAGTTGGCCAGACGAAAGCGGCAGCTGATCAAGAGAGCTGGCCAGGATTGGTGGCGACTCCGATCTGGGCGCTGCATTCAGTTCAAAGCTGTTGCTGCTCTCGTGCAGTTGTGCCCAGATCGAGATTAAAAGTTGGCTAAAAACAAAACTATTCAAAAAACAATACTTCAAAATGCGCGCTACATTAATTGCTGTGCATATCCTGCTGGGAGTTGGTCTCGTGCAGGCTATAGACTGGGTAAAAATTCATTTAAAAAATAAATAATAAAAACTTAAAATAATTTTCTAACTAAAAGGGACAGTTCGGGTGGGCAAAGAATTCCCTGACAAGCAGATGGCCGACTTGATAATCATTTATATAGTTAAAAATATACAAAGGTGTTCAGGTCCAAATTTACGACCGATTGTTATTATAGAATCAAAATGATATAGTGGTATACATATATATTGTGAAGATTATATAGACTTCTTAGAAGCATTATTAGGCTCTTAATTTCTACATTCGATTGGAGTAAAAATAAAAAGGTGCTGCCCTATTGCAGCTATAGAATATATAAGTTCGATCCTGTTAAGACTTTACGTTTGTGTTGCCTTCTGCCATATATTGCATATTGTCATTTCCGACCTTAGTTTATTTCAAAAGAAAAAGCATTTAACCAATAGTTTCTGTCAGCTATTAATATAGCCGTTCGATCCGTCCGACTTGGATGTGGCTTTATGGACACAACTATTAATACTGATTAAGTACTTTATGGGCTATTATATGTACTAAGTACTAAATGAAATCATTTCGTGACACAATAAACAAAACAACTCTCGGCAAGATTAGATATAAGAGGGAAAGTAAGAATATCTTCGGCACGCCGAAAATTTAATAACCTTTTAGACATTTGCCGTACGGTGTTACAGATAAGTGTGAATAGTGAAGATCGTAGATTTGAGTTTGAAAACCGAATATTTTGCATGCAAAAAGATTTTTACTATAGAGCTATATAACATAGTAGTGCGATATTGATAAGACTTGGCACATACAGTAGAAGCATAGTAAAAGTAGTAAATGCCGTGATTGGTCAAAATATCTTGATGAACAAAAAAAATTGTCCCCACAAGATTCTACTTCTTGACCGATACGTCCTATAGCAGCTATATGATATAGTGGTGTGATCCGGTCGGATCCGACATATGTACTGCCTGCAAAAAGACGGTTTGAAGACGATTAACTTAATGCTAAGAGACTTGTTATCATAGACACAGGCAGACGGACGTTTGGACAGACGAACATTGTTATATTAACTGATCTAGAGTATATCAACTTTTGGGGTCGGAGATGTCTCCTTATATGCGTTTCACATTGCATGACAAAATTGCAATTACCTCTAGAAGCGTTTGAAAAAAACATATACATATGTATAAACAAAAGACATGCAAGAGATTGAACTTATGCTAGCTTATGCTACACACACACACTGGCGCATCGCTTAATTTTTATGTTGCATACTTTGCAGCGCGCGTTTAAAACCTGCGATGCCACAAATTCAAATTGCGTGACACGAAATTATGGCTCTTCTATACCGATGCGCATCTATGAGTGTCTGCATGAGAGCAGCATGTTGCGCTGCACAAAGCTGTTTGTGCTGCAGAAGCTTGAGGAGCGCAAACAGCTGCCACAGACGGGCAACATGACCAGAGATTTTATGGATCAGTTCTTTGGCCAGGAAACGCAGCTGGGCAGCCTGATAACGGAGAAGTATCGGCAGATGTCGGAGAAGGAGCTGAACCAGCGTCTGGTGCAGAACTTTCAGCGATTCTTCAAGAATCGCGACATCAAGCTGCACTTTCTGCCCGGCATGCTGGTCAAGATTGTGCCTAGCAAAGAGAACAAACTCAAATTTAGCCTGAAGAAGGGTGAGTTTCAGCCCTAAGAGAGTTTCTGCCGCTGACAATGTCTGTGTCTTCTAGCCATCAAATCCAGATTGGGTCGCGCACGCCGACGCGACACCGAGGAGCTGCAGCTGAATCTAATGAATCTGCCCTCCATGGCCGGCGGCGTTGCCGGCACCAGCGCCAGCGTGGAGGCATACGAGCCAGAGCCGGAGGGTGACTCCAAGCAGCAGGGCGGCTTGGGTGCCGGCATTCATGCGGGCGATTCCGCCGGCGGGGGTGGACTGCTCAATAAGCGCAAGAAGAAGCAATCCTATAAGACAACAATGTTGCAGGTGGCTGTGCCCATACTGGTGCTGCCCGCCATACTGCTGGCCAGCCTGTTACCGTTTGTCCTGCCCACACTCAAAATGGCCACAATCCTATCGCTCTTCATGAATAACGGCGCCTTTTTGGCCGCCATGCTCTATGCCTACGCCTCGGCCTCCGCCTCCAGCGCGAGCAACCAGCCGCAGCACATCAGCTATGGCTATACCGATGGCTTTCACTAATCCAAAAATGTAATTTAGATTAATGTGTTGTATGATTCCAATGCTCTTCCAATAAAGGCTGTCTCTTGTCCTATGACTTTACTTAACTTAGCTGCTTCGTTTTTTTGGCTGGGAGCCAAGCCGGTTCGCGTCAAGAATTTCAATTTTCTTGACCCTGAATTGACTCAAATCGCGAAAAAGGAAAATAAATAAATGCTGTGCAAAAACCCGAAGCAAACATTATTTTTCTTAAGTTTTTCAACTGTTTTAATTTTTGAATATTCGAAAAAGTTTGGATATTGAATATTGGATTTGAAGTGTAAACTGACTTTTAGGTAATATTGATTATATTATTATTGCAGGCATATATGGCATAAAATCTACAAATTAAAATATCAAATTAATTTGGCTTAGACGTGAATTACAATTGTCTCAATTATCTTAACAAAAATCAAAAATTTGGATCGGACCTCCTCTAACATCTAGTGTTGAGATTATATAAGTACATATTCTGATAATTAAAATTCTTATAAATCTAACCTTCTATAGATACTTAAATCCGTATAAGGAGTAGACCCAAGCACCGCAAAGACAAATTGTTTCCACTCGAAGCAGACGCGGAACAGACTTCATATACAGGTTAGAAAAAGTGGCTCAATCAAAAAACAATATTAAAAACGGCATTGTTTTAACAGCTTGCGCAAACTTTATAAAATTGTTAAATGCAAATTTATGGCTAGAATGTTAATTAAATTATAAAATTTAGGTTTTTATTTAATTAATTATTTATGTTAAGTCCAACACAGAGTTGAATATTTTTGCGTCAGTTCTAAAAATACATTTTCTAAAACTCAATAAGACCTTTAAATGATAAATATGCGAGCTTTTGTATTTTTCTTTTTTTTTTGCGCAGCTCATTAAAAATGTATGGGTGCACGCGCGTCTAAAGCAACAACACAAAGGCAACTAGTTTTATTAACAACAACAATAGCAATAACTACAACAATGGCAACAACAACAACAACAACAATGACACTTAAGCTATTGGTACTTCCCAATCAACCAAAATGAAACCACGAATAAGGTTTTCAAGCAAAACCCGAAAAAAAAATATTAATAATAATTATAATGCCTGCCTAATGCGATTCTAACTGTAATATACAAGTAGCAGAGTGCACGACCAGCAGATACCCTTTAAATTATACAGCTCAACTGTTTTGTGCAGCTGCTTTGCTTTGGTAAAAGCTGACTCTTGAATATTATCTACATTAATGCTTCCTTAATTATTTAATTTATGGCACAAATTTTTAATTTAAAAGTGAAGACTTCCATACAATAAAATATCTTTTATTTGTGTGTACTAGAAACCAATCTGGATTCTCTACAGCTCTTTTAATAGATAGATAGATATGCTCACTAATCGATTATCGACTATCGATTCTCGACAAACGAGGAGGTTATCGACTCTACTCTTCAAACTGTTCTGGGATTCATATAAGGGGATCTTAGGAAGATATACCATTTGATCACCTAGTACAGGGCTCTTTGAAGAATATTTTATAGAGTTTCCTGTAAATGTGCAAAAAGAAAACCGTTTTATTTCATTGCCAGACTGTGCCTAAATCCCGTGAC